TCAGCAACAACTAAAACATCGGTGTGTTATCAACATTGTTCTCATCCTAAATCCAAACCACAGCACTGTACCAGCTACTAGGAAGGAAATTAACTCTATCCCTGCCGAAACCAGGACACCTGGTTAGGGTGAATTGCATCCCTGAGCATTGTGGATCCATTGCTTTCTTTTCATGCATTTAACACCTGATGATACCCGATTCAGCATCTGTTTTACAGAAAGGCAGCCTTTTACTGGTGGAGTGATATAAGATTATTTTGGTCCAGCAAACAGCTGTGGTATACACTGTATTGTTAAGCTTTGTGGTTAAAGTTTCTAATCAGTTTATTGGCAGCTCAATAAGGAATTCCTTTAGGAGAGTCTACAAACATGGAAGCAGATTTTCTTTCTTTTTAAATACTGGGGAGAAAGTGGGATCAGTTCACTATCTGCTGTTGTCTTATGGCGATATATTATAAACATACTGGAGCAATACTAAACTGAATAGTTTTAACCTGTATAATCTTTGCAGCAGGAACTATTAATTCCTGAATGTCTGGAAAACAGCCACAATGGTTTTGTCACCACTTCAATGTAACTGATAGTACTTATCTCAAGGGATGATTGCTTTTTGAATGGTTTCTGACCCTTATGTGTTAGGTTTTCATGTTGTCGGCTTATTCATTTTTTTAAAATGAAAAAGAATGACAAAAATGATGCTTTAGCACCAATGCCCTTCCATACCTGTTTCTTATCTTTTTCTCCTTCGCTGCTTGACTGTGATTTGCTTAGGCCGGACTAAACAGAGGTTAAAAGGAAAAACCTTTTTTGAGGTGTGTGCTGCCATGCTTTGGATTTTAAACTTTAATTTTTATTTATTCAATACATGTGACCATTACATCATTTCAAGGGCAAAGAAAATAGTGGGGGTATTGAATTAGGAGGCCATCTATTGTGCTATTAATAGTTGAAGAATCATTCAAACTGACAAAAAACTTGTTTTTCTTTCCCAAAGGTAACAACGCTTGTTAACACGAGCAATAAGGGACCATCTGGCAAAAAGAAAGGGCGCTCTAAGAAGGCTCATGTGTTGGCTGCTTCAGTAGAGCAGGCCACTCAAAACTTTTTAGAAAAAGGAGATCAAATTGCTAAAGAGAGCCAGGATCTCAAGGAGGAATTGGTCGCTGCTGTAGAGGATGTACGCAAACAAGGTATGTGGAACAATGTGCTTAACTGGGTAACTGTTTTATTTGATGCTTTTCAAGATTTCTTCCAAAACAAGTGTGTCAGCTGTTCTGACAATGTAATTAAAACTATGTCCTATATTACAGTATATCCGTCATACGTCATATAAGTATTAAAATAGCTATACCTTTGTGAATGGCAATGTGTATAAAGAATGTTCTAACTTTGGTAAAAAAATGTGTGGGTTTTTTTTTTCCTTTTAGCTGTTCTATGACCAAATAGTAAACTCAAATATTACTTAGCAGCCATGCTGCCCCGTGCCAAATCTTATTAAAGTCTGTGGATGCAAATGTACAATTATGATTATGGTGCATACATTTCTGAACAATCTAACAATTATCAATCAACTAGTACGGCAATATAGAATTACTTGTGGTTTCAAGTATATATTGAAATAAATACAAAGGTTATCAAAGTCTGAAAATATACAGATAATAGCAATATTAAAACGAGGATTTTTTCTGGGTGTTGGTGATAAGATAAATATTAACATTAGTTTGCATGCTTCATAGGTTAAACTGCAAATTTCAAGATACCCAATGTTACAAAAAATTGCCTAGTTGGGCATGGGACTGAGGCGTGGGATAATAACATTTTCTTTATTGGCAGAAATAGTCCCGGTTTTGCACAATTTAACATTTGAAGTTTAAATTGGTATTATAAGAAAACTGCTTTCAAATAAGGCTTTGAAATTTTAGAAATATCATGGATATCCATGATATCACGGATATCATCTGACAATTTTCCTTCAAAAGGTAAAATGTATGTCAGATGCTTTCAAATTTACATGTGTGGCAGGGGAAAAATATGTTTTCAATATATGCTCATAACAAAACTTTTCCCTTTAATTGACTTTGATTGTAATTATCTTTATTGCAGCAGAATTAAGTACCTTTCAGGTTTTTTCCATTGTAAATCCTATAATCTAAAGATACCATCTGCCAGCATCATCGGTCCTGGGTTTTAGGACAAGACTGGCAGATCTCCAACTGATGTTTCGAAAGGAGTCTAAAGGACGTAGGTATAAAATACTGATTTTCAGTGAGTTAAGCCCCCAGCACTCATATGATATTTTTTTCCGTTCGTGAAAATTGGACTCAAATGATCATAGGAGCAGGCAGGGTTATCATCCTGTATACATAAACACTGATTTGTGAATATTCCAGTCTGTTCTATCCTGAGGCTGTTTCTTCCTCCTATCCACTACATACCTATTTAGTTTCACTGTTTTCCTGTTCATATGTGTTGGGTTTTTTTAATATTGAATTGCCAGTACACCCTAATAAGTCGAGTATTTGCTGTATACTCTATGTACAGTGTTATGCCAGTATTCTGGTGGGGCGATGGGGTTGGGTGGTTTTGTTGTTGTTTTGGGGTTTTTTTCATTTAGAATTTTGATGCTGATGCCTGGTTGTTCTAGCATGCGGTTTCATTTGTCAAGTACTTCAGCTTCCCGTTGCTTACATTACTTATTTTGTGTTATGTCAAATTCTAGTACAGCATCTGCAGCGCTGATGCGAGTGCCCTTGTTCCCTCTGAATTTATAGCTCTCTCCCTTTGGAACCGCGATGCTGACTCAGTTTTGCTAGCTTCTCCCAAGGAAGGGAGGCTCCAAGGAGCCTTCTACTGAGTTAGAGTCATCAACCTAAACTGTTGCATGCTCTCTGATCTAGACAAATATACCACATTCATTAGCATGGTATCAGAGCTTCTTATTATCTTTCTTTATCATTAGAGCTTTGTATTAGTTAACAGTGATTTCTTTGTAGATTTTTGCTTTGTAAAGCTAGAGGCATCTGAGAAGATTTGCTGTGGAGAGTTTTGGTTTTATTCTTGATTGAATTTCTGATTTTTATAATTGATAATAAGCCTTTTATTCTTTTTTTTTTTTTTAAATCTGTATTTAAAAAAAAACCAACAACGATGCAGGAAGCAGAGAGGAATAAAGATCTTAAACAGTATTATGCAGAATGATACAGGCATTCATTTTTTGTCAACACTGCAGGCTAGAAAAAAGTCTGTCGGAAAAGCGGAGCAGCTTTTTTGGGTCTGTACAACATGAGTCCATAATTAGGAGAGCAGGAGACACCAAACACCATTATTAGCACATGCGAGCCGCGTAAACTAGACCAGCCTTGGTGCAATGTGAAATGATATGTTTAGCTCAGTGACATAAAGAGCTGGATTAATGAACTGAGGCTGTGTTTTGCCAGAGTATCGCTAGTCGCTTTTCTGGCAAAATTCCAGCCTGGATAATTACACCGTCAACCTAAAAATGTCTCCTGCAGTTGCAGCTGGCTCTGGTGTGCTCCTCGTTTCCTGCCCTATATTGCTGTACTCTTATTATATGCTACTATAGGCAGTTGTTGCAATTCATCCCGGAGAGAGTTGCTTTTCCATTGGTAGGTATGAAACAAACGTACTGTGTCATTTGCAAAATACTTTGGAATGAACGTGAATGCAAAGAATATATAGCTTTAAGATGCTTGTTACTTTAATAATGTGGAAGGGTAAAATATATTTGGATAGCTGTACGAAACTCTGATGATTGGCAGTTTTGATTTACAAAGTTGAGTTCTAAAAAAACAACCAAGAGCAAGAAGATAGATTTTTTTTTTTAATGTTTTTTTTTTTTTTTAATTTCACATAATTTTATGAAAAGGAGTAAATATTTTATGCATAAAGCTCATAACTGTGTATCTATAAGTGCATGTATGTATACCATAATAATTCCATAATAGGAATACTTTGGCCTCATAGGTCTTAAAAATACCAAAATGGTAAAAATAAACTTTCGTTCAAAACCATCTAAGTGAAATTATCCAATTGCTATGCCATTGAATACTTTTCTGTATGGGTATTTATTCCCATGTTGTCAGAGCTGTGTAAAAGATCTCCCAGATGGGAGACAGATGAGACGTGGGAAATGCTGATGTTTTTGTTCATGTCGTCTTACATTAGAGGTGAGGGAAAGCAGGCAGTCTTCTGCATATTGAAATTTTGGGAGGAGTGAGATTTTTGTGTATTTTTTTGGCTGTAGTAACCCTAAGAAAACTACGAAGCCTGAGAAGTGCAGGAAAGTGAAGAACAACTCACAGAAATAAGAAATACAGTCTGGGGAGGGGAACAGAGGAGTACGTTCTCATAGCGTGGGTGTCTAAATGCAACTGGTCTTTTATTGATCACTAGGGAAGAAGGAAATTCCCTGTGGAGGAGGCATTCTGGTTGTGATTCGCACAAAAATCTACAAAAAACTGCTGGCCCATTGGGCTCAGGTCTGATTAAATTTATTAAGAAAGTCTGGGGTGCCAAGGAAAGCAAGACAAGGAAACAGATTATATTTGTGTAAATTTATTCTATCTATTAAATGACTTTGGCAATGTCTTTATCTTGTAAGTATGTGCTAGTGAGTGCCTGATTTTAATATAATTTTCCTAGCAGTTTTCTGGCATATTACTAAAACTTCCATTAAAAACATGATTTAGTTTAGCAACTGGTTGTTGTGTGTTAATTTTTTGCTTTTCAAGCACGGTAGATACAACTTCGCACCATAATCTGAAATTTATACTTCAATAAAGGGACAACTTCGCACCAAATCTGAAATTTATACTTCAATAAAGGGACAAAAAATAGCTGGTGATGTTTTTCGTGTTTGAAGACAGTGTAAACTTGAGGTAGACTTCTTTTTTTGTTAATGCAGATTTATGCACGTTGCATAAAAAGAATATGATATGATCCATGTACTCCATGACTGTCAGTAAGCATGAAAGTATGTATCAATATCTGACACACAAAAATGACTTTAACTTTCTTGGTAACTTTTTTCTCTATGATGGAATATACTAAAAAGTAATATTTTTAATGCTTTACTTCAGTGCTTTTATCTACCTAGTTTTTAAAACTTTTTAAATGAAGATTTTAAACTAAACCCTGTGAAAGGTCTTCTTTACTGTTCCCTCCTGTCTTCAGTTACCTTGGGAGACAAGCAGGGACTCTGCATATCGTAGGTGGTGGGAGCAAACTCCAAAACCATAGAACATACGCAAGATGCCGGTTGTTTTTATAATAATTTATAATGCTATTTAAGCTCATTTAAGCTCGTCTGATTTCAATGACAGCAGCATGACATGGAGAGAGACAGATTCTGTCTTGATATTTGTAATGTCACATACACTGTCACTTACAATTGTCTCGGTTTTGTGTTCCCGGAGACTGCCGAACTCTTAGCCAAATGAACAGCGTTCTTTGAGTCTTAAAACAGTACCCCAGTTCAGCTGGCAATTTGTATTTTAGGAGACCTTTCCTGATTGTACAATTTTCTCTCTGTTAGACCTTGTTAGACCAACAGTTCCTTCCTAAAACCCAGTCCTCGCAGTGCCATGTTATCCCAAGACTTTAAGACTTGCTGCCTGGAGGTCTTGACTTTCCCAACTGAAGCAGAAAATCCCTGCTCAGATTTTGCCTTCCTTAAAACTTTTCCACTGTCCTTAGATTTTTGTTTTCTGCCCTCTAATCCAATCAATTTTCTTTTTTAACTGCATTAAAGAGAACTCTTAGCAGCCATCTCTGTTTCCTGCGGAGTCTGTGCTGCTCTCCTCTATACTCCTCCTCTGTTTCCCTCTCCATTTCTTTGCCACCTTCATGTGGTCATACACTTATTTTGTCTTCCTTGGAATTCAGGGCGTGAAATTTCCCCTCTCTCATGGTCTCTTTAGATCTCCCATTCCCTGCTAAACCTTCTTCCGTCTCCTTCTCATACCCTAGTTCTGTATTCACATAAGGTTCTTCTCCTTGTCTCTCATGTTCAGTCATGGTTTTGTAATGCAAAGTAGGAAAAAAAAAAAAAATCGTCTTGAAAAAAAAAAACCGGTTTGGTCCCTCCCCCCCCCCCCCCTTTATTTTACACTTAATGTACCTTGTTTGTTGTCCTTGTTTTCTCTACCAGTAGATTACACTCCTCTCTGAA